CACGGACGATTTTTAATATTTTTCAACCGTAAGCAAATCTTCAGTACCGTAAAAAATTCAAACACATCAAAGTACAAGCAATGAAATGTCCAAGCTAGTGGTACTCCACTGTACATGTGTATATGAAAGTATGCATGTATGCGTGTAAAAAATGCCAATTCCAATTCGCAGAAATTGAATAATTTGTGTGGATGGAAGCTGCGAGGGGAAGACGAAAGCAGAACAATCGTGTATATGTATGTTTATATGTACATTTATAAATGCATACATACTTACATTCTCATTTGTTTGTCTTTTTGGATGCATGAAAAGTTTGGTAGCAGAAATAGGTAATGAAATGAAGTTTACAAATATGTGCTTTATAAATTTAGGTTTAGTTATTAATAAATTAGATATGTAAATGACAATGTGGGGGACAAATATGCACATGAGTAGCGGAGCTGCCACCCATCCAATGGCAACTTACACGACTTTATTAGAACATATTTGAAAACTGAATAAATATTGAAAATGTTGAAAAATTTGTTAAATAGTTTCGGCTTAGATTAGCGTGATCTTTACTAATTGCTGCGAAAATCCGACGTTTTCAGATTTTAAGTATTTTTAAAAAAAGTTTCCAAGTCGAAAATAATTAAAAACTGAATTATTTCCATAAATATCGAAAATATGGAAAAAATTCATACAGACTTTCGACTTAGTTTTGTGAGATCTCTACAAAAAAAAAGGAAAATAATTCTTTTCACAAGTTTTTTTTTTTAGTCCAATACCAATACAGTTTTTTACTTGAAAATAACACAAAAATTGGAAAATGTTATATAATATTTTCGATTTATTTTAACGTTTTAACAAATCACCGAGAAGAAATTATTTTTTACCCTAAAAACTCTATTTACAAAAAAAATCTAATACCAATAAAGTTTTATAATTGAAAATCTAACAAAATATTACAAAAATCAAAAAATGCTATATAACATTTTCGATTTATTTTCACGATATTTGTGGAAATCACCGGGGAAAAGGATTTTGTTTATAAAAAATATTTTCACAAAAAAAACACAAACACATGGGACTTTTCTATTTGCAATTATTAATAAAATATCACAAAAATCGGGAATGTTATATACTATTTTCGATTTAATTTCATGTTACTTGTACAAATCATTGAACAAAAATTTAATTTCTTTTACTTGGGTTTTCTATTTGAAAATTTTCCCAAAATATCACAAAAATCTTCAATATTCATGTTTAATTAACATTCCAAATGCTCTCGTGAGATTTAGCTCTGTTAACATTCTTCTTTTCTGCTTTGTATTTTGCTTTCGCTGTTAAGTATTCCAAATATTTGTCGCTCTTAAAATGCGCTTCGCCAGTTTAGTTGGCTCGAAAAATGTGGCATTCACAGTTCTTGGACCTTCTCTATAAATATACGTTCTCTGATTGAATCATGGGTATAACTTATAAGTTTGGCGGTTGAACAAAGAAGAAGGAGAAATTGTAAAATTGTGTACGCAAATGTCAGAACTGTGGAACATGTGGATTGTGAATCAGCGGATGAACATTGTGTATCATGAATATGAGTATGCGAGTAGAATAAATCACAATATAACCAGTAAACAACCTTCGATGAATTTGGCGACTGCCTTCCTCGGGGATGAATATGCTAGTGATCCAACCACGCAGGGTTGCTTTTAAGAAACAAAAAATAATTAAGTCCAAATAGTCTCAAAAAGTATAGTGTAAAACGAAATTTATTGAATAATTCCACATAAAATGGTATACATAAATGACTCATTTTCTGAACGATTTAAATGAAACGCATTTCATATGCTTTTTTGTGCAAACGGCATTTGCGAATTGATAGAAAAGTACTACGGGTGGTAAATTTTTGTTAACTATGGTGAATAATTCCAATGGTCGCCTTTCGCACTCACCGTTTTTTTTGTATGCCCACTGGCTTTCCGCTTAAAGTAAACACTTGTTTTCGTTTTTAAAAAGTTATAAAATTCAACTCCGTTTATTCATGAGTTATACAAAAGCGTTCAAGATATATATATATATAAGCGTTCACTTGGTCAAAAAGGATTTCAACTTCGCAAATTACTAATCCCCGGGGCGCGTGCGCGTTTATCGCTGGTAGTTGCTGAACTGCTTTGTGCTGATTTCGCACGACGATGGGGAGGCGGCCGTGCGCGCTCGGTAATTATTTTCGGAGTCGCTTCGACTCCACTGCCGCCAAAAGATGCGCGCACGGCCGCTGAATTCGGTTTAAGCGGCGGCTTAGACATCGCCCCGCCCTGCAGGGATGTGCTCTTGAGCACTTTCTGCAGCTCTTGAAGGGCGCGAATGGTGTTGCCAGGGCGCGGAGAGTGGTGTGGCCCTGGTAGCTGGCCGTTTTCAGGCCTTTTGGTGCGCTAAGCTGCCTGGTGAATCGCACTCGCCGGTTGTGTGGGTGAGCGCAAGGCAGTTGACACAATACCCTTGCACTCGGGATACTGCCAATCGCTGCGGTGGCTTCATGGCCTTAAAGGCCGGGCACGTCCTGAGCGCGTGGTACTTGTGGCAGAGCCGACATTGGAGGCAGTTCTCCGTCTCTGCCGTTGGAGCCAGGGGGGCATGCCTTCCGCGATGCCATGGTGTCTTCAATCTGGAAGTAGAAGCAAAGGCAGAGAAACGAGGAGTACTTGGGTACAATATTTAAACGGGAAGTTAAGACCCTTAATATACAAAAGGAAAAGATGTATAGAATTATTTATTGTGCTTTGGGAAGGAAGCACAGTTTGACAAGTGGCCGCGTGATAACTCCATTTTGTGTACGGACTTCCACGACACGTATGTGGTTATCAGGGCCGTGGCGAACGTTTTCGGTTCGTCCCAATCGCCACTCGGTGGGGGGGGAGCGAGTCTTCTTTGATCACGACGATGTCGCCTGGCTGAGGATCGCGTTGTGGAGTTTTCTACTTGTATCTCTTCTGAAGATCTTTGAGGTAATCTTCTTTCCAGCGGCGACTGAATTGGTGGTGGAGTGCTTTGACTTTCTCCCACCGATTTAGTAGAGAGAGGTCTTCCGCATTAGGCTCGGGAATGGCCAATAGCGGTGCACCTCGAAGGAAGTGACCCGGAGTAAGTGCTGTCATATCATCTGGGTCTTGGGAAAGTGCGGACAGAGGCCTCGAGTTGTGGACTGCTTCAATTCGCACCAGAAGCGTCGTGAATTCTTCAAAGGTAAACTTGTGGGTTGCAGCGGTTTTCTTTAGATGGATTTTAAAGCTTTTCACTGCATATTCCCACAAACCGCCCATGTGGGGGGCGCTGGGTGGTATATATTGCCAGTTGATGCCTTGAGGGGCATATTTTTTGACAATGTCTGCGGTACACTCGTTAAGAAATTTAACGAAGTCGCGTTCTGTTGCGCGCTGGGCGCCAATGAACGTTTTTCCATTGTCGCTCATTATTTTTGAGGGGAAGCCTCGTCTGCCAACGAAGCTGCTGCTTTAATTTGGAATGGCCCAGCAAAATCTACTCCCGTTGTGGAAAATGGGAGTGAGAAACTGCAGCACTCAGGGGGTAGAGCGGCCATTATTTGGGTGCGTGTTTGTTGCTTGTAAAGCGTGCACGCTTTGCATTGAAAGATGCATTTTTTAATGAGAGGTTTTAGCTTTGGTACGTAGTACTCTTACCTTACCATTTGGAGCATTAATCGTGTTTCTGCGTGAAGAACAGGCGAGTGTAAAAACTCCAAATATAGCTGGTAGAACTTCGATTCGGTAGGGAGAATGATTGGGTGCCTTTCATTATAGCTCAAGGTGGAATGTGCTAATCGGCCATTAACCCGTAGAAGTCCGTCTTTGTCCAACGAAGGATTGAGAACAAGAAGAGGACTTTTTTTGTTAAGTGGCCTTTTATCTTGCAAAGCGCTTTTTTCGCTCGGAAAATGGCGTGATTGCGCTGCGTTGATAAGACGAATTTTTGCATATTGAAATTCGTTATGTGTCAGATGCGGATAGGTGATTGTAGCTAACCCCTTTGATTTGTTGCGGGCATTGCTCACGAAGCGGAACATGTACGCAGTCACGCGGAGTGCTCGAGAGAAAGAAGAAAAGCGATCAAGAAAATCGACCTCTTCTTCAAGCGCGGGATATACCTCCACTTTGCGCTTTTCTGGTGGAGATGCACTGCGTGCCTTTGACCTTGGCCATGCATCCATGTGGCAAGAGAGCAATTTTGGTCCGTGCCACCAGAGTGGGGAATTTGCAGTCCTGCGGTTTGCACCCGCGGGTGCCGAGGTCGGCTGGATTATCTTGGCTGGCAACATGGCGCCATGTACCGGTTGGAAGATATTCCCGGATTTGGGAGGTACGATTGGATACATACGTCTTCCATGTACATGGTGGTTTTTCAAGCCAACCTAGCACAATCTCTGAACCTGATCATAAGAATGTGTTGCACGATTCCAATTTGAGCTGTTTTCGAACAGTTGCGACCAGTTTTGCGTCTTCAATGGTGCGACTTTGCTTTTTGCAACCAAGAGACATCGCAAAACCCGTGGATTTGTTTGCCTTGCCCCGGAGTGAAGTTAACCCATCGAGGGATCTCGATGTGGCAAATGGCTGGCAGATTTTCTGCGAACTGCTGCCATTTTGCTAAGGATATAGGTTTGGCACATTCGTCCCAATCAACGCCATCCAGCCAAAGTTCTTGAAGCAGAATCTTTGCTTGAATCATCACTGGCGACAGCCATCCTGCCGGGTCAAAAAGTTTTGCGACAGAAGATAAAATTTGTCGCTTTGTGACGGCATTCGATGTCGATGCAGGCAGAATGGTGTATGAAAATTTATCTGTGAGTGCGTTCCATTGTATGCCAAGAGTTTTGGTTGTGGAAGCGCTCTCAAATTTCAAAAAGTTGGAGTCGAGAAGATCCTCCTTTGGAAATTTTTCTAAAATGGCCGAATGATTGGCCGTTAGTTTCTTGAGTATGAAACCAGCTGACTTAAGCGCTTTGATCACAAAAGTGATTCAGTGGCGTTGTCAATATCATGACTTCCGGATAAGATGTCATCCACATACGTTTCGGTTTTAAGTATTGTGGCAGCCAAGGGAAATGTCGCTATCGTATCATCTGCTAATTGATGCAGGGTACAGATAGCGAGGTATGGTGCACAATTAACCCCGAACGTTACGGTTTTAAGATTATAATCGGTGACAGGAGAGTCAGCCGATGTGCGAAATAAGATTCGCTGAAAATCTTTATCGTCCTCATGGATGAGTATTTGACGATACATTTTTTCAATGTCGCCATTGAACACGAATCTGTGCATTCGCCACTGCAGAATGAGCAGCATGAGATCTGGCTGGAGTGTGGGACCAGTGTGCAACACGTCATTCAGGGAATTTCCTGAGCCAGATGTTTTTGAGGCGTTGAATACCACGCGAAACTTGGTGGTCACCTTATCTAGTTTGACGACCGCATGATGTGGCAAGTAGAAAGAGAAGTATTTGCCATTGGAAATTATCTCGCATGGCTTCGTGTGCTCCATATGACCGAGGTCGAGATACTCTTGCAACACATTATTGTACATTGTGGCTAAGTCTCCTTTTTTCTGAAGCGATCGCTCCATACTGAAAAACTGCTGAAGTGCAGCTGACCGAGAGTGGCCCAGAGACAGCTTTTTTGGAAATTCTTCCTTGAATGGAAGTCGCACAATGTATCGACCGTTTGGGGCACGAGTCGTTGTTGTTGCATATATATGCTCACATGCCTGATCTTCAGGGGAAATTTGTGGAGGTTGTGGAATTCCTTCTTCTTCCCAAAACTTTCGAAGCTGAGAGCTGAGAGTTGCATTCGAGCACTCTTCTACTTGTGTCGAGAATGCCATTACATTTTTGGTTATTGGACCACTGAGAATCCAGCCAAATATTGTTTTTTGCGCAAGGATAGTGTCGCAAATCTTTTGTGTACCTTCGAGCAGGATTTGTGGAAGTATATCGCTGCCGATTACCATATCAGTTTGAGCTGGTATGTGGCAACTTGGGTCAGCAAGTTCAAGGATCTTGAATCGCTGCCAGTTTTCACGGCTAATGGTGAATGTAGGCATGTGCCTCGTGAGCTGAGGTAACACGATAGCCTGTGTGTTTATCCGTTGCTTGGTTTTTGGTGCAACCAATGTGAGTGGACAAAGCTTTGAGGAGTTTTGTACTACATGTCCACCCATGCCGGAAATTTCGAACTTGGAATGTTCGAATGGTAGTTTCAATCGTTTTTGAACTTTCGAGGAAATGAAAGTTCTCTGTGAGCCTTGATCAATCAGGGCTCTAAGTTGAAACAATTCACCCTCGTGTTCAACTGCGACTATGGCAGTTGGAAGGAGAATTTTGCTATCATTGGCGGTGTGCAATGATTGTATTTGTGCTTGTTTGGAACAGCACGGTTGCTCGCTGGAATCTGAGCTTGACTGCGCTTGTCGAGCGGGAGGTGTCGACTGGGCAGTAGTGTGTTGTGCGGCGGTTTCATTCGCTCGCGCACTGGAGTGTCGAGATTGTGGTTTGGGATTCATGTGCAGCAGGGAGTGATGCCGTTGTTGGCAATGTGTACATGACCACTTGCTCGGACACTCATTAGTGCTATGGGTATTACCAAGGCAGTTTTTGCACAGCTTGGGTTGGTTTGCGAATTGTACTCGGTTTGGTACCGAAATTCGCTTAAATTGTGGGCAGACTCTAATGGGATGAGGGGACTTGCAGTAAGAGCAAGCTGGTTCCCTCTTAGGTTCTGCCACAAAGGTTTGACTCCTGTTAAAGGACCTGTTTTGCGCAGCATTTTGATGAGCGACTGGTTTTTGTTTATTTTGGCTTGGATGAAGCCGGTTAAGACTTTCGACTACTTCGTATCTTGAAGTAAGAAAATCGTCCATTTGTGACCATGAGGGTAAATCTCTTCGAGAAGAGAGAGATTGTTCCCAAAGTGACAGTGTGGTTTCGGGCAATTTGGATGAGCATATGTACACCAATATGGGATCCCAACTGTCTGTATGGACGTCTTGGGAATTAAGAACTGACAGACAGTTGTTAATTGATGTTTGCAGCCTCTGAAGTTGCTCGCTATTCTCGGATTGAATAGTCGGCAAAGTCATCAAAATTTTAATTTGGTTGTCAACAAGGATACGTTTGTTTTCGTATCGTGACCGTAAAGCTTCCCAGGCCAGCTCGAAGTTATCGTCGCTAAGCGGATATTGCTTGACGATGGAGCCAGCTTTACCTTGGGTTTTGTATCGGAGGTGATAGAATTTTTGAGCACGGGAGAGCTTCGGGTGGTTGATGTACACCGCTGTGAACATGTCACGAAAAGCGGGAAATTTTTCGTAACCGCCGTAAAATGTCTCCGTGTCACAAGGTGGGACTTGGAGGAAAACGTTTGCCTCTGCCGAGGTGTGTTCCCCGCGACTCGGTGGACTCGGTGCGGCGATTGCTCTAATCAACGACAGTTGATCGGCAATTTTAGCTTTGGTCACCTCATATAATTCAAGGCAAGTGAAGTACTTGCCTTCTACCGAATTATTAAAGTTTTCGGGTAGGCTGTCATCTGGCTTTGAAAAAACCAAATCATAGGCGGACTGAAGCCGTGCCCAACAATCATCTAGTGATTTGTCTTTTATCATAAGATATGATTCAGTGTGGTCTTGGATTGGTGCATCACTGAATTTTGCACAATATCTCATGATACTGTCACTTTCCGCTATAAACTTTTGAGCGGATGGGTCAAAAGTTTTGGATTTATTAAAGCAAAAATGTTTCGGGTAGGCGTCGGAGCCAATGATAACCATCAGTTACCACCTCTGCATGGTTGTAAGTCATGCAGAGTCCCTACGGCTTGTAGCGCTGTGGCTTTGCCGCTTAAACTCAACTCAACTCAACTGTCAAATGCTTAAATTTATTTATCTAATAATAATGCAGCACACAACCCTGAAATCTAAGAAAAAATCTGAAGAAGGAATATAACTACAACAACAACGACTACTACAACAACCCAAAAAGGTTGTTTACCGTCTATACTGTGGTATAAATATAGCGGTTCTGGAACCGGTGGAGCAGCGCTGCTAGCACTATATGGTTTGCTGCTCCGCCGGTTTCAGAACCGCTATAAGGTTTGATGGTGCTCTGCCGCAAGCTTTGCTGCTCCGTCAAAAGATGTCGCCGATCAAAATCCAAGTTCACTTAAAAGCCGCAAGATATCGCTGATGATAAATCCCAGTCCAGAATCGGAATCGATCACATGGTGTACCGCTGATGGAAATCCGAGAAATCCGATACAAGGTAGTTTATATGTCGAAAATTGGTAAAGTGTATTGGTATACATATATACATACGTATTCTCATACATACAAATGGAGATCTATGAGAAGATTTACGCCAGTGCGGACGCGAATTCTTTCTCGCTGATTTAAATTTCGAGTTTTGCAGTGTGTAAAGTGCTTATAAAGCAAAAAATTTGCTCAAAAGTTTAGGGTTAACTTATTTTATATAGTGCTTGTGTTTTTAATGATGTAAATCACTATCAAGGTATGTAATTTGCATTTTATTCTATATCTTTGCTTATAAGTATATAAATACAAAATAAGCAAAGGGGATCCCTTTTGGCGCCGGCCAAACAGTTGATTTTGACAGCAGTGAACTGTTTGCTGTGTGCAGAACTTAAAGCTTTAACCTAAGATTAAAAGCATTAAAAAGCTATATCTTAAAGCAACTGAAAGCTTCAGTTCAAAGCTCTAGGCTTGAGCTTCCAGCGCTCAGCTTAAGGCTCTGAGTCAAAAGCTACCCTTTATAAGGTGATGGCAACTCACCAAAAAGGGCCGCAAATAAAATATGGAGAAGGGGGAAAATTTTCCAGATCCTTTCAAAAGGGGTGGCAAGATCTTGAGGTCACCAGTCGTGGATGCCGATAGGTATCCGCGAATTAGTTCGTCGCCTGACGCTCCAGCACCGGAAGGAGCACGATCCTCTCTCCTAGATCTCAGCTGTGATTGCATAAAAATAGGGGTAAACATGGCAGCAAAAAGTCACAATGTGCAGAAAAACGATTCGTTGCTCATATTAGGTAATAAGCTGAGAAGCCTCGTTGAGATGATGGCACTTCCCAGACGCTCCATACATCAACCGATGAGAGACTTGTTGGATGAAATCGTGATATTATACGAGGAAGTGAAGTCGTTAAAAGGCAATGAAGGAGTGGCAAAGGAGTCCCACAGATGTAAAGCCACTCAAACTTCTCCACCCATTAAAAAGGTAAAAAATACTCCTAAAAGAGGCCTCGAAGACCCCTCGACTAGTCAGGTTAATCCGGCAAAGCGGCCCGGAGTTATCGAAGCGGCTACAAGCCAAAATAATGGCGAAGAGAAAACAATGGTGTCCTATAGAGATGCATTGGAAAAATGCTGCGCGAACTCAATCATGTACACGAGGTAAACACAGAACTTTTTAAGAAGGGCGTGCAAAATCTGCTGGGAAATGAAGCGGAAATAAAAGCTCTATCCAAGGTAACCTCGATAGAGATACATGATCTAGATGAGATCACCACAAAAGAAGATATAGCTAAGGCTATATCTGAAACAATAACGTCGATTCAAACCTTCGACTTAACCTGGATCAAATCTCTCCATAACGGATACTCAGGAACTCAAATAGCTTCGCTTTCGCTACCACAGCTCGTTGCGAAAAAGATTACAGTAGCTCAGAAAATTAAGATTGGGTGGTCAATACGTCGCATTCGTAAAAAGACGACTCTGACCAGATGTTACAGATGCCTGGATTTTGGTCATCAAGCGAGAGACTGCGCAAATGAAGACCGCAGTGGTTGCTGTTTTAAGTGCGGCGAGAAAGGCCGTAATGCCAAGCAATGCAACAGTGTACCCTCATGCGTGCTGTCTAAAACAAATGGGGAGATAAATAAAAGCCATATTGCTGGTGGCAAGCAGTGTCCATTCTTTCAGCGTGCGTTAAAAAAAGCAAAGATATGAAGTTGCTGCAGCTAAACTTAAACCACTGCGAAGCTGCCCAGCAGCTGCTCTGCCAGACAATTATTGAGGAAAGCATTGATGTAGCAATTCTAAGTGAACAGTACAAGAAACCTAACCAAGGTACTCGGATCTCTGATCATAAAAAGAAGGCCGCGATATGGGTTTGTAGAAAAAAGGCATTAGTGGCAAACCTAGCAGTCATGAGTTTTTTGTTAAAACAAAGATCGATGGGATCTATATTTACAGCTGATATGCACCACCGAGCCTCAGTCAGCAGGAATTTGAATTGTTACTAGACAGACTTGTGCAAGATGCCACGATGTATTCTCCAAAAGTAATAGCTGGAGATTTCAATGCTTGGGCTTTAGAATGGGGCAGCAGTAGAACAAATAATCGAGGTCATGCCTTACTAAGAGCATTTGCTTCACTGGACCTGCTTCTGTTGAATACAGGCAGCAGAAACACGTTTGAGAAAAACGGCAGAGGCTCCATTATTGACTTAGCTTTCTGTAGACAATCGCTGGCGACAAAAAA